TAACTAACTAACTACTTCCTTCTAGTCTGAGAAAATAATGTCAGTTACTATTTAATGGTGTTGTAAATAGGAAAGTGAAGCACTTTGAAGTTTAATTTATTGCACAGTTACTGTGATGTATACATAACAGTTTTTCCTCTACCACTTATTGTGTATATATACTATAGGCTAAGTAAGCAGCAGGAAGATTTGGTTGATGCATCTCTGCCCCCTTGCCGTGGCTGGGGTAGGGAGGGAAGAAGCTGTCAGCTGCAGGACCTGGGGAAGCTCACTGCACCATCACAGTGATCTCCCCTGGGCTCGTGAGGTTATCGTCTACTTTGCTGTTTAAAGTGTCCTTTAGACAGATGAAAAGCCAGCAGAGCTAAGTTACTGGCCATTAGACCTGTCTTGTAGCCAATATTTGTAAATCAATAGCCAATACAATAAAACAGTAGCCAAGTGCTTGAAAAATGCTCATGTCTAAGTAGTTGAATTTATTTTTTCTTCATTCAATTGTATGTAATTCCAGTTCTGGAGACTAAAACCCAGCCACTTACCCATCTCTTACGCATAAGAAGAGCAGATCAGCACCCTCCTCACAGCACCACCACAGCTCCTGCCAGGAGGGAAAAGGCCTACTCCTTCCTTGAGCTTGTCTGAGGTTGCATCCAACTGTAATGCAGGGAAAAAGGGGGCAGACAGGGGCCCATTTGCCCATTTCAGAGATGATACATGAATACAGACACAGTAGTCTGTGTGTGTTTCTTAGTTGTCAAGTAACTCCCTCAATCCCAGGACTACTTTATTGGGATGGGAATTTGGATCTATGGCAAGCCAGGATCTTACCAAAGCAAGAGGAGTCATGTGAAGCACGAATCTGGCCCTTCAAAGATGGCATGAAGCACTCCTGGCCCATTCTCAGGGAAAGCTGAAACACCTCCCTTTCATGCACAAACTACCAGCTGTTTGCACAAAGGTTCTTAACAGTACAGTGATCCTGCCCTCCGTGTCCCTTGCATCTCCTCCATCTCCTTGTGGTGGAGATGCATCCTTGGGCAGAGAAGCAAAGAGGTGGTGAAAGCCTCTTACCAAGCAGGGAAAGCTCCAGTGTGGGCTGGCTTGAGGACAACTGCAACGTAGAGAAGACGGCTACTACCCCCTCCTTGTCCCTCTGCACACCCCATTCCAGGGCCAGGTGGAAAGACACGTTTCCCATTTCCTCCCCAGAACATGGCAGGCTGTGCTGTCCCTTCCCTGCTGACATTATTGCCCCACACTAACGCCCCGTGAGAGCCGTGGCACGGCCCAGGATGTGCCCGCTGGGCACAGGGATGCCTCCCGGTGAAGGGGACAGGCAGGCAGCATTCCAAGCGGGGGCCCCACGGCTGCCTGCTTCCTTCTCTGGGAGAAAACGGCGGCACCGCAGCTGCAAAATGTGCTGACCTCAGCACCGGGTCGGGGCCCGGGGGGGTCCCCCCTCCCCGGCACAAGGAGCCCGAAGCGCTGAAGGCACCGCGGCCATTGTGCGGCTGGATTGGATGCTTCCATGTATTCATTTCGGTTTAATGAAGGCGCATTCCTCAGAGGAGAAATATTTACATTCAGCTTCCCAGGTGGTCACCTTCGCCCAGATGACACACAAACAGGCAGCCCCCTGCTCCCTTTTCCAATCCAAACCTCTTTAGAGGGCTCAAGGAGGAGGGGAGCAAAGCGGGGGGGAGGGCGCTGCTGGGGGAGCAGAATAGAGAAAGGAACAAAATGCTAATAAATCAGCCAGCCAGCCCTTTTCCCCTCCCCTCTGTGGAGTCAATGGAAAGTGTCATTTCACATGCTAATCCCCCTCAGCTCTCTTCACAACACCTTTTCCGAAAAGTGTTTGGGAAAAGTCCTTGTGGCCCGTTTACAGCTCCCTGCCGCTTCGGATTCCTTCTTGTCTAAGGCTGCGGCCCCCGTGTGGGTCTCTCCCTCCAGCAGGGCTCCTTACAAAAAACATCTCAACAAAGACTTTGGAGTTCATCAGCCTCCCACTGAAATTCACAGCTGCTGAACAAACTAATCCCCTCTCTTGGCCTTTCTTCCTTTCAATGGGTTCTTGGCTTCAAAGGCACTTTGGGAAAGGACTTTGTGGGGACTCACACTGCTCCCTCAATAGAAGTTAGTGCAAGCATTATCTTCAGAGCAAGTGGCTTTACAAACAAATACTGCCTAACAATCTCTGCCCCTCCAGCTCCCCCAAACACACACAAGCCTAGCCGGCAGACATGATGTTATCTACAACAGGATTAGAGCTCTGTTCTCTGTGCCCGAGGATCCTTTCCTACCACCTTCCCAGTTCTTTGTCAGCCCAAAGGCCTCCTCGCCCAACAGAACATGCGTTCCCTGTTGAGCAGCCAGGGATGCTGCAGGAGCTTGTGCTCACATGGGAGGACAGCACACCTGAGTTAAAGAAAGAGGGGCTGGATTGCACCGGCAGAATCTAATACCAGGCTTGTTAAGTGATCTCAGAAAGGCAGGACTTTATTGATACACTGATTAAGCAAATGTGTGCCTGCAGGGCTACCTGCTCACTTGTTAGGTATCAGAAGAGGTCACAACACAAGTGCTGCCTTTGCAAATCAGCTTGCACCTCCTTGATGGGGAACAGCTGGGAGGCCAGACTGATTGCTAACTGCTCCCACATGGGGTTGCAAAAGCCCTGCAAGACTCCCTTACACCTAGTGTTTGCCTCTGCCAGCAGCAGAACTAGTAAAGGCTGCTTTTCCCCGAACGTGTGCCTTGTGTCCATAGTACCTCAGAACCTTCACAAACCCTAGTCCCTTCCCAGCAATGGCCCTTCAAATCTTTCTCATCTAAACCATCTTTCTTAACCTTTACTTCCTCCAAGCCCTCCAACCACAAATCAGGTAATACAGCACCTGCATGTATGCTGACTGGCTAGCCTGTATGTATACACCAGTTACCCAGCTGACAGCAGCAAGAAAATAAGTATTTTTGAGATTTCATCAGTCTTTTTGCAGAAGTTTGTTTGTTTTCCCCTGACTTTATCCCATTACTGATGTTTCCCTAC